GGTGGGAGAGGAGGAGGGGGAGGAGGAGGAGGAGGAGGAGGAGGAGGAGGAGGAGGAGGAGGAGGAGAGGAGGAGGAGGAGGGAGGAGGAGGAGGAGGAGGAGGAGGAGGAGGAGGAGGAGCAGGAGCAGGAGCAGGAGGAGGAGGAGGAGGAGGAGGAGGAGGAGGAGGAGGAGCAGGAGCAGGAGCAGGAGGAGGAGGAGGAGGAGGAGGAGGAGGAGGAGAGGAGGAGGATGAGGAGGAGGAGGGGAGGAGGACGGGACGAGGAGGAAGAGGAGGAGCAGAGGAGGAGGAGGAGGAGGAGAGGAGGAGGAGGAGGAGGAGGAGGAGGAGGAGGAGGAGGAGGAGGAGGAGGATGGTGAGGAATATCTGGAGGACGAAGAGGGGGAAGAGGAGGGTGAAGAGGTTGAGGAACATTGTTCTTTTAAGATTATCTGGTTCTCTGATTCTCTGGCTCGGGGAGGGATGCTGAGGACGAGCAGGGAAGGGGAGCGCAGGATGAAGAGGGCTCGATAGGAGTAAGGAGGTGAAGTAGGTGAAGAAGCACAAGTAGGGACACACCGAAGAGCGGGGAAGACAGGGAGGAGGAGGAGGAGAAGGAGGAAGAAGAGGAGGAGGAGGAGGTGAAAGAACAGGGCTCCCTTTCAGGGAGACGCCGACGAGGAAAATGATGAGTATCAGATGATGGGAAGAGGGGAAGCGGGACTGCAGTGGACCGGGGATGATGACGGCGATGACGCTGATGATGATGACGATGACTATGCCGACGACGACGCCGACGACGACCAACAAGATGTTGATGATGCGGATGATGATGCTGACAAGTACGATGACGATGATGGCAATGGTGATCACGATGCTGATGATAATGCTGATAATGATGATTGTTGTGATGGTGACGGTGAAGGTGACCATGACCATGACGATGACGATGAAGATGACGGGGATGAGGATGACAATGATGACGATGATCATGATTCTAGCTAGAACTTGAGCGCGCGCGAAGCGCGCGATGGTTCTAGTACATATTTGTGATGTACAATACTGCATTGGCGCTTCGCGCCATGTACCTTGGTCCTTGAAGTTTGGCCTGCAGGCGGAATGGCAGGAAGGTCAATCAGACAAATTAGCGATAACTCCTTGTTGCCGTTTCCGGCATCGCTGTTATGAAGATATTGTTCGTTATCTTTCCTCCGTGTTTCTTTTTCCTCATTCTCGTCCTACCCTGCGAATTCGTCCCCATCCTCCTCAGCTCTTTTTGCGGAGGCTCCTCCTAGGAGAGCCTCTGGGGGCCTCACGGAAGTTTTTCAGGCGTCTTCTGGGGGCCTTTGGTGGCTTCCTCGGGCCCCTGCCTCCAACCGCGGTCTTCCTGAACGACTGGGTCACGATTTGGAATGCTTCGGAGGGTGTCTTGGGGCCATTTTGGGCCTTCATGGGGCTCTCTTAGGCTTACTTGGAACCCTGTTATGGCGTCTTGAGGCTCTCTTGGACTCGGATGGTTTGGGGGCGATTTTCGAGCCTCCCAGGCGGTCTCGGACGCCCGCAGAGGGTCTGGCGGACTCCTCTCTCCTCCTCCCCCGCCTTTCCTCCTCTTCCTCCTCCTCCTCTTCCTCCTCCTCCTCCTCCTCCTCCTCCTCCTCCTCCTCCTTCTCTTTCCTCCTCTCTCCTCTCCCTCCTCCGTCCTCACCTCTCCCTCCTCCTCCCTCCTCCCTCCTCCCCTCCTTCCTTCTCCATCCTCCACCTCCAAGGCGTTGGCGGCAGGGTCATACCCACAGGCCCATAGGGTGGGGCCCCATGCCAAGACATACAATGTTGCCCTTCAGCGTGCCATGGTCTTTGTGTTTCGATAGTCTTACGATGGAAAGCGCGACGCTCTCATGTCAGAAATCAGTGGACATACTGCGGATTCGGGCTTGAATTTCATGTGGGAAGCTTCCTGTGGCCGAGCTCGAGGGTTGGGCTGGAAGGGAGAAGGGGGGGATGGAGGGGGACAGAGGAGAAGGAAACTCTCCGGGGCTCGTTTTGTATTCCAGGTTCGTTTCCGCTGGTCCTGGTACCCGAAACGATTAATAATTGTAGATCGAAGGTCCATCGGGAACTCGACGAACAATCGACGAAAACTGAGGACAATGGGGCCCCGGCTTGCCCTGGTTCCCCCTGCGGGCCCCGCTGCAGTTCTTCGCCCCTCTTGGCCCGCGCGCCGGCGTCATGTGCATTCCGCGCGAATGCCTTCGGGGCGGCGGGGGCGCAGACCACAGGGGAGCTCGACGAGGGTTTCATGACGGCGGCGCGGATGCCACGGAGGAGGCGGAGGGGGAAGGGGAGGAGGAGGAGGAGGAGGAGGAGGAGGAGGAGGAGGAGGAGGAGGAGCATGAGGAGGAGGAGGAGGCGGAGGAGGAGGAGGAGGAGGAGGAGGAGGAGGGGGAGGAGGGCCGAGGTCAAGGTTCGCGATTGGATTCGACGGGCTCGCCATCCGGTTCACGATCCGGCTCGCGGCGATTTGTCGCGGCGAGGTGGGCCTCTTGGGAGTCCCTGAGGGCTTCGAAGAGGCCTCTTCTGGAGCGTCTGGGAGCCTGGTGGGAGCTTTCCGGGGCCGACGCCTCGAAAGTGCCGTTCGGGTCCCTCGTCTGGGCACCCGCCCTCAGAGCCTCTGAGGCCGTGTTGGAGGCGTTTGGGGCCGTCTTGGCGCCCTCCGGGGCTGTTTTGGGAACCTCTTGGAGGGCTCTTGGGCTGTCTTGGGGCGATGTTGGAGGCGTCCTGGACCATCTTGGAGCGTCGGGAAGCAGGAGGGGCCAGAACGCCAAAATCCTTGAACAACGAATGGAAAATCATTGAATGTACCACTCCGTGGGCCAGCTTGCAGGCCTCGCGGGCGGTCTGGAAACCGTCGGGGCGCGATGGACAGAGCGTTCGGCGATTCGGGGCCCTTTTGGAAGATCTTGAAGACCTCTTGGGGGTAATTTTGGCGCTCGTTGGGTTTCGTTTGGGTTCTGGGACCCTCCTGGGGGCGTCGCATCTGACCCCCCCCCCTGGACCTCCCGGGGCCCCCCCCCCTCCTGGCGGGGGGGGGGGGGATCAAGGGGAAGGGGCTTCCCCTCGACTCCCATGCGACGTTGCTCAATTTCGTTTGGGCTGGCGCGCCGGAGCGCGCCGCGCTGGGGGAGGAGGGCCGAGGGAAAGGGGGGAAGCGGCGGCAGGCCCATGGAAACGGAGACGAATCGAACGGACATGCCCCTCACACGCGCCGACAGGGTCCGCGGATTTCAAGGTCTCTGGCCCCAGAGGCCCCCAGTAGGCCCCCGGAGGCCACCAAGAGGCCCCCAAGAAGCCCCGTGAGGCGCCCGAGAGGCCGCCAGGAACCCCCAACAGGCCCAGGGCCCCGCAGGGAACGCCCAAGAGGCCCCCCAACACACCCCAACAAAGCATGTTCCCAGAAAGCCTTTCTTGGGACATGGTTCATCATGGGCCCGAGCGTCTCCAGAGGCTCCGAAGTACCATCACGCTACTGGAGAGCTGTCTGGGAAGTTGACGGGGAACATGACTGATCGCCTTCTCTGCCGACGTCTGCCGACGACGGAGGCGACGATGGCGGCGGCGGCAGCGAAGACGACGACGAACTTCGAACTTCGATGTTCGAAAAGGTTGTTCGGCGCTTTCTGCCTTCGGGGGCCCGTGCTCGGGCCCTCGGGTCCTCGGGGTCCATCCGACGACGACGACGAAGACGACGAAACGACGAAGACGGGGGACGACGATGACGACGACGACGATCACGATCACGACGACGACGACGACGACGACGACGACGACGGCGACGACGACGACGACGACGACGACAGCGCGCCCCCAGAGGCAACGACGACTTTACGACGACGACGACGACGACGACGACGACGACGACGACGACGACGACGACGACGACGACGACGACGACGACGACGACGACGACGACGACGACGGCGCGCCCCGACATGCTCCCCAAGACGTCCCCGAAAGCCATGTTCCCAGAAGGCCTTCTGGGAACCCGATTCATCAGGCCTCCGCCCCCCTACGCAACGACTTTCCCCGATAGCCTTCGGAATGCGGATTGACATGCGTGGATGTATCACTGCCCATAATGCGTTCAGCGTTATTAACACTTCTTCACTTCCCGTTCAACCCACCTGCGGTCCACTGATTCAGTGGAGCAGTGAAATCGTCAGGGCCCAGGGCCTACTAGAACCTAAGCGCTGGTTTTAACACGCACGTGTATATGTATATGTATGTGTATACGTATATCTATGTATACGTGTAAATTATGTATGTATACATTTATGCACATGTATATGTATATGTATATGTATGTGTCTATGTATATGGTTGTGTATATGTATATGTGCATGTACATGTATATGTATATGTATGTGTCTATGTATATGTATTTGTACAAGTATATGTATATGTATATGTATATGTATATGTATATGTATATGTATATGTATATGTATATGTATAGTTATATGTATCGGTATGGGTATATGTAAATGTATATGTATATGTATATGTATATGTCTTCGGATATCTAGAGCCAGCGCCCTGTTTCGGAGGTTTCCTGGAACTTAAGTGAGTTTCGGATTTGATTCAGAGGTTGAGTTTAAGAAGAGAGAAAAACCAGAGTTGATTCAGAGCTCTGTCTGTAGTCCATCGTGGTTCAAAAGAAAGAAAGATGGTAGCGGAGCTGGACCAGCTCCAGCTCCCAGTCCCGCCACTCCCACACCCGCGCGCCAGCGCGCGCGCGAGATCCGCTATTGGCGGCACGACAGATCGAGACGACGGAGTTCGAGACCACGAGCTCCGCGACGGGCACCCACGAGCGTTGGACTCAAGTGGGCGTTGAGGACGATTGGCAACGGACTGTGCTGAAGTTGATTTGGTTCAGCCGACTGAAGGGATACTGGCACGAGTTCGGGCAGTTCTTGAACTACGTGAAGAATCACAGGAGAGCCGAGCGGTTCGGTCTTCGAGATGGCGCTCAACCAAGAGACATTCAACGAGATGCGCGACGCAGTGCAACAGGCTCGACAGGACATACGCGATCTACGGCAGCAGAACGCCGCGCTCCAGCGACAAGCAGACCAGGCTGGAGAGCCTGAGATCATCAGACGGCTCGGCGAGGTGCTCGAGAGAGTCGCAGAACGGCCGCCGCCACCGGCGGCCCAGCTGATTCAAGCGAAGGATATCGGGAAGCCACAGGCCTTCAATAATGAAGAGTCGAAGTTCAGTGAGTGGCTCCAGAAGCTCAATAACTACGTGCTCAGCGTCTTCGGCGTGAACTTCCGGCCGGTGATCGAGTGGGCAGTCGACCAGGCGAACGACACGGTCACGCTCACCACGGCCGCTGCGATGGAGCAGTTTGTGAATGAGGCCGAGGACGGCGAGGCAGTCGACAACGTGGACGAGAAGCTCTCGCAGCTCTACGCGGTGTTCGTCTCGCTCACGGGGGGCGAGTCCTTCGACCTGGTGGTCAGCGCAGGCCAAGGCAATGGAGCTGAGGCCCTACGATTGCTGGTGCGGCGCTGGGGTCCTACCGGCGGTGGTCGCCGCCGCGTGCTACTCAAGAAAATCATGGCGCCGACCAGGGTCGCAAAGCTAGAGAACTTGGCCGCAGAGGTTGTGAAATGGGAAGAGCTGGTCAGGCGCTACGAGAGGCGCAGAGCCGACGGTCGAGATGTACACCTAGACGACGCAATCAAGATGAGTGCGCTCGAGAGCCTCGTGCCGCAGGACGTCGAGATGCACCTTGCCCTCAACCGCACCAGACTCCAGGACTGCGCTGCGATGCGAGAGGAGGTCAGGAGCTTCCTGGAGACCAGACAAGCTCAAGGAGCCCTTGGTCGGTCGAGAGGCGACCCGATGGAGGTCGACGCGTTCGTCAGGAGAGGCGACGGCAAGGGCAAGTGCGGCAAGGGCAAGGGCAAAGATGGCAAGGGCAAGAACGGCAGCGGAAAAGGAAAGACGGACAACTCGAACGTGATCTGCTGGAACTGCCGAAAGAAGGGCCATCGGGCACAAGACTGCGGGAAGCCCACCGAGAGAGGAAGTAAGGATGACAAAGGCAAGGGCAAAGGATGCGGCAAGGATCCGAAGGGTCAGCGTTTCCAACAGCAAGGCGTTCGCCGAGGCTACCTCAACAATTTCGAGAACGACGCGCAGAGCACGATCAGCACGCAGCTACCGACATCGGCCTCACAGGCCAGTGTATGCAACCAGTCACCCGCCGCGCTCAGCTTCGGCGCCTTCGAGCGCGTGCTGGAGCTGAACAGCGTGGGGGCGAAGGGTGAGAAGCAGCGCATGAAGTGCATTGCGATGACGTTCGACACCGGCGCCGCTGCCGCGGCCTTCCCGCTCGAGCAGGAGGGCGAATGCACCGACGCCGACGGCAGCTCATACCGCGCAGCCACTCGCGAGATTGTAGAGGACGAGGGCGGCGTCGGCATCAAAGGAATGTCGGAGTACGGCGAGAGTATGTTCCTGAAGGGCAGGCGCGCGAACATCGGCAAGCCGCTCCTGTCCGCCTCGGCCGCCGCCGCCAAGGGCCACTTCACGCGGGTCGGCGCCTTCGGCGGCTACGTCCTGAAGGAGAGCGAGCTTGCGCAGAAGATCCACCAGATGATCGACCAGTACGTGGCTGAGGGCAACGAGGGCATCGTGCCGCTGTGCCTGCAGAACGGAGTCTACAAGATGGACGTGCTGATGGACCAACCAGGCGGCCCCACTTCGCCGGGGTCGGCTCCTGTTGCCGAGCTCTGTCCGTGGGCGCCGGCGAGCGCGGGCCCTCATTGGCAGGCAACGGTCCCGTGGGAGGCGCGAGCGCCTCGGAGCCGCCGGAATCGCTGGCAGCGGGGCCGCCCGTAAGACCACCAGCGGCAGCGCTAGGGAGTAGAGATCCCGCTCCAAAGCCAGCTGAAGTACGAGAAGGGATCGGAGACGACGAGGACTATGACGGTAATCCTCAGGAGGTTGCGCCAGCGACAGTGCAAGGACGAAAGCGACTACCTACTCGAGCTGAAGTTGACCAACGCGAGGCTACAGGTCACGCTGCATTTAGAGATTTGTGTGAAGTTTGTTGTTCAGCTCGAGGGCTTGGCCCACCTCATGAACTACAAGCTGAAGTTCGGGAAGGTGCAGATCCAGTTGTGGCCGTCGATTTCGCGTTCATGGGCGAGATGACCGGCGAGGAGGACGAGGGCCAGGAGGACGACTTCCCGATGCTGGTGGCCAGAGATTCTAGGGCGAAGTTGCCCTACTCGGTAGCGATTCCGGGCAAGAAGGTCACCAACTTCATGATCAAGATTCTGATGAGCTTCATCCTGCACCTCGGCTACCGCAGGCTGATCTTCCAGAGCGACGGGGGGCCCGCGATCGTGGCGCTCAAGACGGCGGTCGCGGTGGCGACGCCGACGGTGGAATTCCTGCCTCGAGAATCGCCAGCAGGAGAGCACCAGAGCAACGGAGGCATCGAGGTCACCGTGCGAGAGGTCAAGAGGCAGGTCAGGGCGAACAGGTATGCACTGGAGGCCAAGCTCGGCAGGAAGGTGGGCGATGACCACCCGATCTTGAAGTGGTTGCCCCAGTGCGCCGCGGCCTGCATTGGCTGGTGCCGACGCGGAACCGACGGCCTCGCTGGAGAACAGCGGCGCTCAGGCCGCGACTGGAAGAAGCTGGAAGCAGAGTTTGGCGAGCGGGTGATGTACAGGCCGCTCGCGCCAGGAGGTCGCAGGAGTACTATGGGGGAGCGCATGAAGTCTGGGAACTTCCTGGGCTACCACATGCGGACGGGGGCCCTGCTCGTCATGACGGTTGACGGTGTGGAGAAGGCCCAAGGTTTCAAGAAATTGCCGAAGGAGCATGCCTGGGACAGCAAGGACTGGGCAGCTCTTCGAGGAGTTCCCTGGGCGACTCGCCCGGAGGAGGAGACGCCCGCTTTGGCGAGAGCGCCAGTCGTGGCTACCGTTCGGATGGAGCCACGAGCCCCGCGAGCGAGGTACGTCCTACGCCGCGACATCGAGAAGCATGGTGCCGCTGCGGGCTGTCCAGGATGTCTGGAGCTGACGCAGAAGGGCAATATCACGAAATCCCATAGCGACGAGTGCCGCGACAGGATCGCAGAGCTAATGATGGGTAACGATGAAGATCGAGTACGAGTTACCGAACATCACTTTCGAGCCGGAGACCAAGCAGTACGAGGTCGAGGTGTTCGAGGTCGAGAAGCAGCTGGAGGAGACCAAGCTGCCCTACCGCCGCCCTCTGGAGACGGCGACCGAGCTCCTGCCCCAGAGCCGAGGGACACCGAGATGGCGGTGGTGCCGGCTGGAGGCAGTGGAAGCGAACCGAGCGCTGCCAGGAAGCGCCGAGGTGACGCACCCGACCCTGGACGAGCTACCCAGGTACGAGGCGACGCAAGAGGAAGCTCAGCACCTGCAAATGCTGAAGCTCGGCTCGCGCTCAAGCGAGCGGCGCCCCAGGAGGAGGCGCAGATGAACGTGGAGGACCTGGTCGACACGGCGATGTCCCATGCAGCGTCGTCAAGTTCAGCATCGGCATCGGTATCGAGACCGAGCCAGGCTCCAGATGGATCGATGGGCGTCGACTTCCTGGAGCGGATCAACGGCTGCGACAAAGGCCGCACGTTTATCATGATCTACGAGCTGGTGACGTTCGAGATGCGGACGAACGCCAACGTGAACGACGCAGAGCAGGCGGAGGAGATCGCGTCACTTTTAACCGAGATGTGCGCAGTAGACACTGCGGAGGTTTATTCGCCGAGAAGGTTTGCAGAGATGACGTTCTGTTACGGCCTCGCGCACGGCCTGGCAGTGGATATCGAGACTGGTTGGGATCTGCGATTGCCCGAGCAACGAAAGGAGTGCAAGAAGCAGCTGAAGGGCGAAGACCCGCTGCTGACGATCACCAGCCCCCCGTGCACACCATTCAGCAACGCGCGGTCGCTCTCGGACTCAAAGCGAGACCCGAAGATCGCGGAGGCGGAGATCCTGGAAGGCGAGGCGCACCTCAACTTCAGCATGGAGATCTGCAAGGAGCGCTACAAGGCAGGAAAGCTATTTCTTCACGAAGCACCTTGGTCAGCGAGTAGCTGGCACCGCCCAAGCGTTCAGGAGGTCATACGGTTGGCAGGCGTATTCTTAGTCCATGGACCTATGTGCCGCTGGCACATGCAGGCGACCGACTCCAACGGAAAGTTGGGCTTCGTTCGGAAGGAGACCGGGTGGCTCACTAACAGCGGGCTGCTCGCCGAGATCCTCAAAGGCTACTGCCGGTGCCCCAGGGGTCCGAACGGAGAACTCGCTCGCCATGTTCATCTGGTTGACGGACGCGCCAAACATGCACAGCGATGCCTTCCGAGCTTGGTGGCAGCTATTCTCAAATGCCTACGAGAGGAGCTTCGACGACGAGAAGGGCTCAACCTACTTGCAGCTCTTTGCGGAGGACCACGCCCACATGAAGAAGATGCTGAGGTGTTCGCTGAGTACCAGGACGACTGCGTCATCGACGATCTCACGGATGAGATTTTGGACTCCGAGGGTGTGCGAGCTGCGAGGCAAGAAGAACTGGATTGGTGCCGCGGGAGGCAGGTATGGAAGAAGGTACCTAGACGCGAGATGCTCGAGAACGGCAAGAAGGCAGTGACCTTGAAATGGATCGACACGAACAAGGGCGACCGAACTCAACCACGGTATTGTTCGAGGCTGGTCGCGAGGAAGATCAAGAAAGCTATGAGGTCCGAAGATCGACCAGATCAAGCTGAACTATTCTCGGCCATGCCAACGCTGGAAGCGTTCATGGCGATGGTGACCATCTTCGTCGGCCGCGTGAACGACGCCCAACACGACGGCGACACAGAGGAGATCATTTACAAGTTTTACGACATCTCGAGGGCGCACTTCTATGGAGATGTGAATCGCGAAGTGTATGTGGAGTTGCCCGAGGAGGAGACCCACGACGATCCAGAACCCACGGTGGGCAGGCTACTCAAGACGATGTACGGCACAGTAGGTGCGAGTCATGTGTGGCAAGACGACTACATCGGCCTGACGAGCTCGCACGGCTTCAAGAAGGGCGTCTCGAACCCAGCGCTGCTTTACCACGCCGAGCGTCATATACAAGCGGAGGTCCACGGCGACGACTTTGGCGTGATTATGCGCAAGTCCCAGGAGGGGTGGTTCGATGACGTGCTTTCGCGCTACGACTTTAAGGTCACGGGTATTCTGAGCAGCAGGCCCCTGGAGGAACAGAGCGCGGTCTATCTCAACCGGGTGTTGATCTGGAACCCCTTCGAGCGTTCGGCCTACCTCGAAGCGGACGCCCGGCGCGTGAAGAAGGTGATCAGGGACCTGGGCTTGGAGAATACGAAGGAGGTGACTACCCCGGCTGTTAAGAGGTCTGTCGCGGAGATTTTGAGTAGCAGCCAGACATCGCTGAAGCTGGGCGACGAGAAGGTGAAGACCTACCGCAACGTGACCATGCGGATCATGTACCTGAGTCTGGACCGGCCCGACATCAGCTACAGCGCGAGCATGCTGGCTAGACGCATGAAGGGGCCGAAGGAGACCCGCATGGAGGATCTGAAGCGCATTGGCCGCTACTTGAAGAAGTACCCCGCTGGAAGGTTGCTGTTTCCTGCTCTGAAGCTACCTAGGAAGGTTTGCGTTGACTGCGACAGCGACTACTCGGGGGATCCTATTGCGAGGCGTTCCCGAAGTGGAATGGCCATTCTGTGGGGGGCGCATCTGCTGAAACATGGCAGTTCGGTCCAATCCACGGTGAGTTTGAGCAGTGGCGAGGCCGAGTACTATGCATTACTGCGTGGAGCCTGCCACGGTTTTGGAGCACGGGCCACTTTGGCCGACCATGGAGTTGAGGTGGACTACGAGATGGAGCTTTACATTTTCAGTGATAGCTCAGCCGCGAGAGGAATTGCAAGCCGACAGGGACTGGGGGCTGTTCGACACTTGGATGTTAGATTTCTATGGCTGCAGGAACGTGTTCAGAGGAAAAGGCTGTTGCTGAAGACGGTCGAGGGCCACTGGAACCCGGCGGACCTGTTCACGAAGGCCCTCGACCAAGACACGATGGAGCGGTTGATGAAGCTGATTTGTTTCACGATGAAGTTTGACGGTAGCGTGAGGCACCGTGTACTGTGATATTTCACGCCGGCTGTTTGCCGGCGCGTGTCTCGTGAAAAATGATCGAGGCGCTGGTTCCGTTTGGACTTTCGCCCTCCGCCTCCGCCCAGCCGCGGCGACGAAGGCCGAGGAGGGGTGTTCGGATATCTACGGCCAGCGCCCTGCTTCGGAGGTTTCCTGGAACTTAAGTGAGTTTCGGATTTGATCTGGAGGTTGAGTTTAAGAAGAGAGAAAGACCAGAGGCGATTCAGAGCTCTGGCTGTAGTCCATCGTGGTTCAAACTATAGAAAGAATATGTATATGTATATGTATGGTATATATATATATATATAGGTATATGTATATGTATATGTATATGTTTATGTGCATGTATATGTATAGGTGTAGGTATACGTATATGTATAGGTATACGTATAGGTATAGGTATAGGTATATGTATAGGTATATGTTTAGTTATAGGTGTACGTATATGTATATGTATATGTATATGTATATGTATATGCATATGTACATGTAGATGTAATTGTATATGTATATGTATATGTGTATATATACATATCTATATATATGTATATATATGTATATGGATATGTGTATGTGTATGTGTATGTGTATGTGTATGCGTATGTGTATTTGTATGTATATGGATATGTACATGTATGTGTATATGTGTATGTCTATGTATAGATGTATGCGTATGTGTGTATATGTATATGTGTACGTGCATGTATATGTCTATGTATTTGTTTGTATGCATATGTATTTGTATATGACTATGTGCGTAAACACACATATATATAGTCATACATACATACATACATGCATACATACATACATGCATACATACATACATACACACGTAGCGGGGGACCAGCCCCCGGGGCCCCAGCGCCACGACCTCGACCATAAATGAGTGGCCCAGGGGCTCCCGGGCGCTTCCGCGGCGCCGGGGGGCCTGTTAGATCGCCCGAAAACGGCCCCAGACTGGCAGAAATCGCGGTTCGAGACCGCCAAAAGGATTCATGACGGCCAAAGATCACCGCATGATTCGCCCCAGACTGTCCTAGAGGCCTTCCGCATTGTTTTTCCGTTGGTTTTCGAAGGTTTTTCGGATTCTCGCCTTTTCGGCGCCCCGACGCTCCAAGACGGCCCAAGACGCACCCAAGATCGCCCCAAGGCGGTTGGGGCATGCTAGAACCGAATGGGCGCGCGCGAAGCGCGCGCAAGGAACATCGAGTGACACGAAGCGAGCTGACGGTTTATTACAGTTGTTAAATGTTTGCCTCCTGCATCTCCGCTCGAATCGTTCTCCGATCATCCTCGTACTCATCCTCGTCTCCTGCCCGAGTGAACCAACCGCACTCTACAGAACGCCGCCCTTGGATCTGCTCGCGCAGCCACCTCTGCCTAGAAAGGCAGCGGCTGTGGAGGTTCTGGCCAGGGCCACGTTGCACAAAATCCTCATCGGCATCATTACCCTCATCGCATCATGTTGTAAGATCCAAACCCCAAACCAAGATAAGGCGCGGCGCCTGAGCTTGTGAGGACACTTTTTGGAGGCACTGCGTTACCAGATAAGGCGCAGCGCCTGAGCCTGTGAGGACACTTTTTGGAGGAATTATGTTGCCAGATAAGGCGCGGCGCCTGAGCTTGTGAGGGCAGTTTTCGGAGGCATTACGTTGCCAGGAACACAAAGAAACGATCCAAACCCCAAACCACGCCGAGAGACCACCACGAAGACCCCGTGGGCATGCGTCCGGGCGACCCCCCAAACGGCATCCACATATTCGGGAGCGGGTCGCTCCCGGCGTGCCTCTTCCAGTTGTTTCCCTCATTCCTTTTTCTCTTCCCCCATCCTCCTTCCTCCTTCTTCTCCATCATCCTCATCATCACCACTCATCATTCATCCCCAATTTGTCCAATCTCATCATCAGTATTATCTTCATCATCAATACCATCACCATCCATCACCGTTCATCGTCACTCATGACCACGCATTATCTTCATCATCATTGTCATCATCCATCTCATCAGAACCATCGTCGTCATAATCATCATTCGTATCAACACAAATACCATCATCATCACCACCAGCATCATAATCATCGGCAGCAGCAACATCATCATCAACATACTCACCATCATCATCAGCATCATTATCATCAGCATACTCATCAGCATCATTATCATCATAATCATCATCAGAAGCATCAGTATCAGCATCACCATCATGATCACCACCACCATCGGCATCATCATCATCATCATCATCATCACCAGCATCATCACCACCAAAATATGCATAATCGTAATCATCATCCACACCAGCGCCATCCTCATCATCATCATCAGCATCATCATCATCAGCACCATCATCATGACGACAGTGATGATTCTGATTATTATGTTGAAGCTGATGATGATGCTGATGCTGATGCTCATGCTGATGAGAATTCCCATGCTGCTAATGATGAGAATGATGATGGTGGTGGTGGTTGTGGTGCTGTTGGTAGTAATGATGCTGATAATGTACATGCGATAATGATGACCATGTCGGTGACGATAACGATGATGATAATGATGATGATGATGATGATGATGACGATGATGCTGCTGCTGATGGTGATCTTGCGGATGGCAATGATATTGAAATGGCCTCCGGCCAGAGACGCCGATCCGGGGCGCTCCGGATGATGATGATGATGTTGATGATGATGATGATGATGATAATGATGATGATGATGATGATGATGATGATGATGATGATGATGATGATGCTGCTGATGTAAATGATGATGATGATGACGATGGTGGTGATGATGATGATGATGACGATGACGACGATGACGACGATGACGATGACGATGACGATGACGATGATGATGATGATGATGATGATGATGATGACGATGATGCTGATGATGATGATGCTGCTGCTGATGATGATGATGATAATGATGATGATGCTGCTGATGATGATGATGATGATGATGATGATGATGATGATGCTGATGATGATTATGATGACGACGATGATGATGATGATGGTGGTGGTGTTGGTGGTGGCGATGCTGATGATGATGATGATGATGCTGATGACGATGATGCTGCTGATGATGATGAGGAGGAGGATGACCATGTCGATGTCGATGACGATAACGATGATGATGATGATGATGATGATGATGATGATGATGATGATGATGATGATGATGACGATGATGCTGCTGCTGATGGTGATCGTGCGGATGGCAATGATATTTATGTTTGGATCGTGGTGACGATGAATATGATGGTGATCATCATCACCGTCATCATCACCACCATCACCACCATCATCATCATCGTCATCATCATCATCAGGAGGAGGGGCAGTAGGGAGGGCAGGCCAGCTCAAGCGCATCAACGAGGCGAGATCCTTGGATTCAGGCGTCCCAAAGTCCCAGAAGCTCGACAACCTCCTCGAGTTTTTGCGCGCTCGCGTGACCTGAGAGTTCCTCGCAGGCGCAGATCGGGAGGGGCACAGTTTGCAAGCGTTTAGTTTGCATGGCCTTCTCTTCTCGCAGGCCCCCCTCCGCCCCCTCCCCCTCCTCCACTTCCAATGAGAACGAGCAGGGCTGAGCTGTGCAGCTCCACGCTTGTGCAAGGGGACACGACGAGACACTGCAGCATAGAGGCGCGTTGACACAGGTAGGGCCATCCACGATCCGATTCGAAGCGATTTGATTCGCCGGCGGGGGCCGCGGTTCCGATTCGATTCGATTCGGCTCGATTCACCAGCATCGGCCGGGGCCAGCTAGAGCCAGTCGCGGCGATCCGATGTGGACTCGATTCGGGGCGAGTCGCTGGCGATCCGATCCGTTTCCGATCCGAGTCGTTTTCGCGATTCGATCCAGCCCAGACTTGACAGGGGGACGTACGTCGCAGCACGGCAGGGGCGATCAGCGCGGGCGTTCGAGTTGGAGGGGACATGCGACAAAATAATTGTCCGGTTGCAAGAGAGGGCGCGCGGGGGGAGAAGCGACCGCAGAGGACGGGAGGGAGGAGGAGGGCACTCACGGCTGAAAGCGTTCCAGGATGAGCGCGCCAGAGCGGCCAGCTGGGGCTGAAGTGACCCGGCAGTGGACGCGGGACGGCACCACGGCCGCACCCGGGGACCGAAACCAGGGCTGCAGGCGCTGGAAGCGTGCATAAAAAGGCGAGCCATGCCATTACGCCGCGAAGGGGGCCCACTGGGCGGCATGAGCGGGAGCCTCCGGTGGTCCGTGACGTTGCCTGGAGCCTCGGGCTCTGCTGCAGAGGGCCAGCGCCAGCCAGCTGCGGGCTTGGGATGGTCCGGGCGAAGCGGCAGGAGCCCCCGCGGGGCTGCGCCGAAGCGCGCGGGCTGCAGCAGAATGTGGTCAGTCTGTAACCGGCCACCTTGATGCCGACGACGGCCCAGGCCGTGCCAGCAGAGGCGAGGAGGCCGGCGGGCGGCAGCGGCCCAGGCGGCGCCATGGCGGCGCGGGAGGGAGGGGAGCAGGCAGGCGGCGGAGTAGCGGAGAAGGGAGGCAGGCGCCCCGCCTGGCCAGCGCGCGCATCACAGCCAGGGGGGGGGCAGGCAGCAGCCGACGTCAAACAGCAAGATGGTGACAGACCTTAAGTCGGGTCTGTCCCTCTACAGGAGGAAAATTCAAAAATAGTCCAGAAATCGTCAGAGGACTTTTTTTTATATAACTATGTTTGAGTATTTTGGGGGATTTTTTGTTTCTCGTTGAAAAACCGCCTGTAGGGGGACAAGCCCGACTTAATTATAGATAGCATCCGTTCCGACGTGCCGAAGAGGAAGCCACATGGCTCGATGGTGCCATCTCTCTTCGTCGGCGGGGAAACAACACACTGGCACAAGTAGTCGTCGATTCTCAGGAAAATGCTGAAACATATGGGAAGTGGGGGGAAGACAAAGCCCCAGAACATATGAGCGGGAAAGTATGGGGAATCCTGTTATTTGTGTCTGTGTATTTGTGTGTCCCAAGGCCCCTTCAATGATAGGCATCCGTTCCGACGTGCCGAGGGGGGAGCCGCATGCTTCGACAGTGCAATCTCTCTTCGTCGGGCCTCTGTCGAGGCTTGCGGGCCCAGCGCGCGGGCCAGGGGCAGGGCTGATCGCGTTGTGGCATGCAGAGGCAGGCGGGAAGCAATCGAGGAAGGTGTCCTCCTTCTCCTTCTCCTCCTCCTTCGTCGTCGTCCTCCTCCTCTTCCTCCCCCTCCTGATCGCCAGAGGTCGAGGCCAGACGGCGTCCTCCTTTTCCTCCTCCTCGTCCTCGCTTAAGAGGAGGGGGGAGGATGACTATGAGGCTGCGGAGGCGGACGCGGATAATGATGGTGATGATGATGATAATGTGAACGATGATGCTGCTAATTGATGGTGCTTGTGATGATGATGATGATGATGATGACGATGACGACGACGACGACGACGACGACGACGACGATGATGATGATGATGATGATGATGACGACGACGATGATGCTGATGCTGATGCTGCTGCTGCTGCTGCTGATGATGATGATGATGATGATGACGATGATGATGATG